GTCGTTTCCTGACTTGTTAATTTTAGCCATTCTGACTGGTGTGAGGTGGTATCTCATTGAGGTTTTGATTTGGATTTCCCTGATGCCGAGCGATATTGAGCACTTTTTCCCACATGATGATGATTTAAAGAAAGTACAATAGCTGCACTAATGAATAAATTCGAAGTTAAGGGTTCTGAATGAAGGAAACACACCTGAGATCTGAAGGGTGTGTAGATATTAACTGTACAGAAAGGAAATAGCAGTGGAAGGTTCCGAAGAGAGTTATAATTTCAAGTGCCTGGCTCGGAGCACCTGCTCAAGTTAAAATCACTAGGAGGTAGGCACGGTTCTAAGCACTTTACTTGGATTATCCCACTTAATCATTATAACAACTCTGTGAGGCACATATATGTATTATCATTATCTCCATTCCTCAGAGTGGAAACTGAGGCATAGAGAGAAATTAAGAACTTGCCCAAAGTCATTTAGCTTTCAAGTAGTGGAGGCAGGATTCTAGGCCGGGCAATCAGTCCATAGTCTACTGTGTGCCATGCTACACAATGAATGGTGGTATTAGAAGCATTTGCCAATTGGAGAGGGTGGGGAAGAGGAGGCCATTGTAGGAAGAGGGAACTGCAAAAAAAAAAAAAAGACACATGAAGAATAGTTCAGGGGTGAATTAGCTCATTTACGGACGTGGAAAGCAGTTCCCTGTCTGAACGACCAACAGGAGCCCGGCACAAGCCCTCCTAAGAGGAAGGCTTACTCACATCTCTAAAAGTAAGCCGCGCTGAGAATGAGCCCCGTGTGGTTGGTGCGCACAGGCGCACTGCCTGCGTAACTAGAAATGCTGACGGACGACGCCCCGCCAACACGCCGCTCAGCTCCCCCGCCGCAGACGGGAGCGCTTCTTGGCGGACATTACTGTGCGAAGCAGGGAAAGTCAACGTGCACGCGCACGCGGCACTCTCTGCCAAGGGTCCGGGGACTTTCCCCTAGGCACGGGTAAGGAACCAGTCCCTCGTGTGTAGCCTAGGAAACAGGCCTTCAGCACGAACTGCTCTTCTATCTCACGCTCCAGTCTTTTAAGGTTGGCCAAAATACTCATTTTTTGATTAGGGTGAATAGGTTGCTAGCATGAGAAATAAAGTCCATTTTCCAGCATAATCTTATGAGATTGTTGGCTTCTAGAAACATTCTGGCTAATGGGATTCTAAATAGATGGGAAATGAATTCATTTAGCAAAGTTGGGCCAAAGTCCTATGCTAATAAGCGTGCCCCGCCCACACACTAAAATGGGCGTGACCTCCCCGCGCGTCCCGGAGCGGGACCCACGCACCGCCCCTCTTGCGCATGCGCGCTGGGGCTCGCGGCTAACACTGGCGCCGACGGGGCCTTCATTCTGTGGTCGGCAATGGCGGGCTCGGTCTCGCTTGCGGGTTTGCTGGGGTTGCTACTTGTGTCTGCACTGCCCGGGGTCCTCGGAGACCGCCCCAGCCCCGACCTCCGGGCACACCCAGGTATCAGCGAGGGCTGCTGGAGGGAGGCTAGGACTGCCCACGGGTCTTAGGCCCCAGCTCTACTGACCTACCTCTGCCGTCCTCCGCAGGGGACCCCGCCCAGGTCGGCCCTGAGGCCACGGAACCCCGGCGTCGGCAGCCGCCCAAGGACCAGCGCGAGCGGGCCCGGGCGGGAGCTCTGCCTTTGGGGGCGCTGTACACCGCAGCTGTCGTGGCTTTTGTGCTGTACAAGTGTTTGCAGGTGCGGGACGACCAGGGGCGTGGATGCCCCGGGCCTGAATCTCCCATGGGGGCGCTCTGGTACCATGAAAAGACACTTCTTTCCGTCAGTCTGTAAAACGAAGACTGTAGTTCCTTAGCTTTCCAACACTAGGGGGTTATTTTGAGCATCCAGCGAGGTAGCAGATGTAAAGGGCGCTTGGTAAATTGTAAATAAATACTCCCAACAGTCCAATGAAGAGATTAAGTCATTTGCTCAAAGTCACGCAGAGCTAGTTGAAACTGGTAGGGCTGGGTTTTGAACCCAGCAAGTAAGTGTCCATACTATAAAAGTGTGGCTCCTGGTAAAATTCCAATCTTGGCACAAAGCGTTGATTGCTGTAGCCACAATATCCAAGGCACCAGTCTCATGTTCTCCTTAGAAAGGAGGCCCTGAAATGTAAACTGACAGTACATTTTAGTGTATGTAAATGGTTGAGATGGAAAGTAATACCTCCCACGGCTCTACCTTCAAACCTGGCCCGATTACTTATTTGCATTGGGAAGTAGAGGGCTGAACAAGTTTGGAGATGGTATGAAATTAAAAGGGATAGCTAATCATAATTCCAAATAGATAGGTTAGGATGAGGGACCGAATTTAATGAGGAAATTTAAAGAGAATCGATAATAAATTCTCTTTGTGGACCCAAGTACTATTTGGAAGAAACAGAACTTAGCAGTTTATTAGTTGAATAATAAAGTTGAGTCGTGTGATGTGACAACCCATTTCCCCAATCAATGCTAGGAACAAGGTATTGCACCTCATCTTCTGATCAGAACACCCCTGGAGAATTTTATTCTCTTCAGGGCACTGCTTTTAAGAACACTACATGCCCAGTAGAGCAACCAGGGAAAGCCATGTCAGATGAGCACTGACAGAATAAAATTGGCAATATTAAACCAGATAAGACATGGGGAAGGGGAGTGGGCAAGGACCATTGTCTTCAAATTCCTGAGTGGCTATCATGTTGAAAAGACATGATTTTGGAAGGCAACATGGAAAGAAGATACATGAAGGAAAAATTCTGGTTTTGTATATAAACTAACAACCAGAGCGTTCTCAAACTGGAGAGAGCTGCTCATTCCTGGGAGTTTTATTAGACTGAATGACCACGTGTGGGGACATACTGACAGGTTGCTTCAGGTCCTGGGTGGGGAGCTAGGCTAGATGTGATTCTTTGAAGTAAAAACTCCATAGCTTTCTTGACTTCAAATTATCCTCCTCTCACTGGCTTTGGAGACACAGGTGATGGAGAAGCTTGTTGCTGCAGGCTAGCCCTCTCTTTCTTCTATAGCAGGGGAAAGATGAGGCTGCAGTTCTCCAAGAAGAGGCAGGCAAGAAGGAATCATTGCAGTCAGGTGGGTTTTGCACAAGTCTGTGTTTGGTAGGGGATTAGGGGACAGCAGAAGGTATGAATAACCATTGCTCTCCTTTTCTCCCTTACCCCCAGAGCAACAGCTGGCCCAGTTGACACAACAGCTGGCCCAGACAGAGCAACACCTGAACAATCTGATGGCCCAACTGGACCCCCTTTTTGAGCGGTAAGAAGAGCAATGGCCCTGTGGCCAGGGGAGCTCTGTGATAGGTGGAAGAGGTGGGGATAGAGATCGGCTAGCCTCTGAGTGGGTATTTCTACAGTGTGACTACCCTGGCTGGAGCCCAGCAAGAGCTTCTGAATATGAAGCTTCAGACCATCCACCAGCTGTTACAAGACAGCAAGCCAAACAAGGGTGTGGACATTCCAGAACCAGGTAAAGGGTTGGGCGGTGAGAGTCTGGTGGAGGTAGAGACAGTCTCTGAGATAGGAATATGCCTGATCTTTCCCCTCGCAGAGGCCAGCATACCCTTTCCTGAGGACTTATGTATAGAGGAGGAGGCTGGTGACAGTCAGGCCTGGGAGGAGCCCTTAAACTGGAGCACAGAGACAAGAACCCTAGCTACTCCCTGGGAAGTGGAGCAGGGGCTAAGGAGAAGATGCAGCAAGGCTGTGAGAAGGGCCGCAGTCACAGCCCCCGCTGGCAAGGAGAAATGACAGCGGAAGGTTTAGTAAAACAAAGTCTGTTCTTGTGACTGGGTACTCCTGTGTGCTTTTTCCATTCCAGCTGGTCCTACACACACCCATACTAGGTGCCCAAGAGCAACCGGGCCTTCTTGGAAAGCTTCCCTTATTAGGATAAAAAGAGGCCAACTTCCAGTGTGAGAGCTGAGAGATAGAGGGAGCTCCAGCTCTTTTCCTTGTATTCCTGAGGCCACCATCATGCCAGCCTTCGGGGCACAAAAACCTTTCTTTCTCATATCGCAGAGCCGAGACAGAAAGGCCTTTCCAAAAAGGTTAAGAAAAAAAAAAAAAACTTTACTGAAATCCAGTGGGAAAATAAATTATAGAAACTGCATACAACATAAAAACATCCACGTTTACAAAGCTGCAGTCTTGATAAACAACCAGCCAGAGCCCCAGCACCGAGCTTATCAGTCCTGAATCCCCTCATCTGCGTTGGAGGGGCTGGTTCAGCAGAGCTTCAGCTGGGTTGGACTTGGTTTCCTGATTCTTAAGGCCTGGTCAGATAAGCTGGCACGGCTTGGTCCCAAGCAAACCCGAAACGACCCTTCTCAAACTATGAAGGGTTCTATGTTTTGTTTAGTTAGTACTGAAGATTTCTCTGTACTGCTGACTTTGACCTATCCCTCAAGTATCCTGGGTTCTGGAATTTTAAGATTCTTCTAGTTCTTCTGGCTGCTGTGGAGAGAAGACAGTTCAGGCACTGGCCTGAGCACTCTATTCAGACAAAATCACCCAAGGCGTTGGGGGTGGGGCGGCCCAGCAGGTGTAAGACGTGAGATAGGATTAGAATTGCTCATTCCTAGCCCATGGGCCTCATCACAGCAGTCTTCTGAGCGAAGGCACATCTTACCTGATGGCCAGAGTCAAACTGTGGTGCCAGCGCAACAGCTCCTCCTGGTCTGTGCACATAAGCAGTAGCTTCTCATGGGGAAAGGACAGCTAGGGAGAAATCACCTCTTAGCTCATGGCTCAGAAAGGTCCAGGCTAAAGCTGAAAGCCTTGCTATTTCCATGGAGGTAATTCAGGGCTGAGGTGAAAACTAGGGATGAACCCCAAGCCCCCACTATCTCAATGCAGGTGGCTTAGTTCCTCTGAAGGGGGCCCAGGCCAAGGAGATAAATAGTACATAGGCATTTGAAGTCTGTTTTGAGCCTCTCCTACCTAACTAGGGCTCCCGCCCATAACTTACGCTGAGCAGTCCACCACATGGGCCTCCTGAGTGGCCAAAGACCCTGTGGAGTTGACACTGGGCCATGGGGTAGAGGGCACGGCAGGCAAAGGTGCCACTCTGCAGCAGGTGCAGTGGGGGTCGAGGTTTGGCCATGAGGAGCACATCGGAGAAGAGGAAGAACATTCGGGGCCGAGGCTCCCCATGGGGAGGCACTACCAATAGCCAGCCCTGGCGTAGGAACCAGCGACCTGGGGGGTGGGAGAGCTGTTATTCTGGTGCAGCTCCAGGACCATGATCCATGGGAGCAGAAGGAAGGGGAGGCTAAGGAAATGGGGCGTATGTGCTGGCAATACAGAAAAAGGAGGGTCAGAAAAGGGTAGTTTGAGGTCTGGGGGGGAGAAGGGGAGTGTTCAGACTACCTGAGGTAAGCCCCTTTGCCTGGCGGCCACTGAGCAAACCCTGAACACGCCGGAGGTGCTGGTCATTCTTCTGTTTCTGACCAATGCTGTGGACTCTCTGGGCGGTCTCACTTATCAGCCGGGCAGCCCCTGGAAAATATCCCCCGCCCTACTCCCAGTACAGCTTTGACTTTGGGTGACTGATGGTGGGGAAAGGCTATTCGGGAGGGGACTGGGGTGAGGGTCTAACCTCTTGGAGAGCAGGCAGGGCAACAGGCACATTGTGTACATGTCAATGGAAGACAGGGACATACCGGACATTGTTGGTCAGAACCAGAGAGGGATACAGGAGAGGCAGCCTCCTGCCTGTGTTTCAGAGGAGCAAGAACATACGTGTGAGCTGTTGGTGGTCAGAGCTGTTGGGACCTGTGTTTTCAGCCAAAGCCATGACAAGATTCTCATATCTGGAATTAAGACAGCTGGAAGTCCATGAGGGGAAGTAGAGCTGGGCAGAATTCCTTCTGCCTGACATACAGATCGCTCCCGACACACACACTTCAGTTGCAAGGCCAGGAAAGATCTGCTTCTGATGATTGCATCTCCCTCTTTCATCTGGGACTCAGAACCTGGGCTCAGACCACATGGCCCTCTTCCATCCCACACTGAAGAGTCAGGAGCAGACTGACCATAATTTGGGAGTCTAGATCCCAAGATGAAAATTAATCCACCCAAGGAGGATGTTAGAGATAACCTGACTGTATCCTCTTAACAGCCCCAGGAACAGAAGTCTAAGGTAGGCAAACCTCTCATCTCAACAAACTTTTCCAGATACCTTGCTTGTCACTAGCTCTATTACAGGCCCCCTCACTTCAATGCAGAGTTCCACATTCCTAGCTAAGGGGCTGAGGCTGCAGACTCCAGCTACTCCAGTGGGTTTACACTCTTGCAAGAGGTTTTTAGGAGCAGTTTGTCCCAGGAGAGGCAGTGCGACAGAAGCCATAAACCCCACAAAGCTGACAGCAGCAATCATACAGACTCAGAAAAGAGAAGTTGGCTGAGTCCAGGTGAGTTTACTCACTGCTGGAGCCTCTGCAGAGGCAGAGGGAGCAGATCCTGAAGATGAAGGCTTCCAAACTCAGGGCGGCCTTCCTGAAGTCGCACAAACCTCCGGAAACGTTTGTTTTTCTTTAGTTGCTCCTGAAGGGATGAGGAAAGGGTTGGCAGCAGGGAGAGAAGCCACTCCTTAGATTGTATTCATCTGTGTACACACCCCCAGCCCTCTGTAAGCTGTGTGCTACTGAGAGAAGCCCTAGAGTGAACCTAGGACAGATGGGGACACCCACGGGGCTCTATAAATGTAGGAACAGTATGAATGAAGTTTGGAGCTCCAGAGGAAGAGGCAGCTTATGGGGCAAGAGGGGAAGGACTTGAGATTATCTTCAGGTTACCTGCAGGGTGGTCCGGGACACCTCTGCGTTGGCAGCAAATTGAGTGTAGAGCTCCAGGTGGGGGCAGAAGCTTTCCAGCCCCTGCCCCCAGTGCCCTCCTTCAAGGTAGGGAAGCAGCTCTCTGCGTGGGTGAGGACAGTAAATGAGCAGTCGAACAACTACCAAGCACCACCTTATTGAATTCTCATAACCTTGCCCTGGAGATAGTGGTATTACCCCATTTTACAGATGGAAGGTGGGGCACGGTAAGGCACTGGGCCAAGAGCACAGGTGAGGTAATTGGCAGACTCCCTATATGAACTTGGGTCTCCCCCCACTCCAAGCTTCGTGCACTGCCAGAGGCCAGGGCCTTCCCTCTTCTCTCTCCCCACGCCCTTCTACTCACTGACTGGCGCCGTATATGAGTTCCCAGGGCCCAAACAGGGCCTGGCGCTCTGCTGGTCGCAGGGTGCCTGTGGCTCTCAGAATCCCCACGAAATACTGCGGAAGGAGAATACCGGTATATAGTCTGCAGGAAGAGGAGGCTAATGCCAAGCCGCCGCTAGAAACTGTAGAATTCCTGAGCTCCCTACATGCAGACGGACAGCCCAAGACCCACCATACTCGGGGTCACCGACCTCGCAGAGACCTTCCCATACCCGGGGGTCCCCGCCCCATACGGGAGGGCGTGCGCGGCCGCACCGTGGCCACCAGCCCCAGCTGTTCCTGGTAGCGCCGCTCGGTCTCCAGCAGCTCCCGGGCAGTGCAGGCGCGTTTCCGCTCCCAACGGGCACGCTGCTCTTGCACTGGGCACCGTCCGCTGGCGCCCGACCTCTCCATGCCGGGCTGAGGGGTCGGTCCTTCCGGCCGCAGCCCGCCGGAGATTCAAATCCCAACCGCTCCGGGGGCGGGGCCGGGGAGAGGAGCGCGCCTCCTGGCGCCGGGAGGCTGCACGCAGGACGGAGCCTGCCTGCCGCCCCGCATCGAGTCTCTGCCGTTACGGCCTTGCCCTACTGCCAGGGCGGCGCTGCAGGTGCGAGAAGCCAGCTCAGGCAGCAACGAGTGGGGCAGGTGGGTGGCCCTCCTCTGGAGTGGCGCTAAATTTGGGCAGCATTCTGGACCTTGAGTCAGGAGATTTGGGAGTGCAGACACCAGCGGGGCCTCAGTGTCCTATCTGTAAAATTAGGAAGGGGGCAATAATTACCGTACATATTCTGTCCTGGGCCTGTGCCAGACTCTGGGGCCCAGTCGTCCCCAGTGCTTTAACTACTAGGAAACCTCACGGGTCACACGGTTTGAAATATTTTGGCCCTTGGACAAAAGTTTTAGGTTTTGGGCGCCTGGGTGGCTCAGTTGGTTAAGCGACTGCCTTCGATCACGATCCTGGAGTCCCTGGATTGAGTCCCACATCAGGCTCCCTGCTCCGCGGGGAGTCTGCTTCTCCCTCTGACCCTCCCCCCTCTCATGTGCTCTCTGTCTCAAATAAATAAATAAAATCTTAAAAAAAAAAAAAAAATTTAGGTTTTAAGTTACTAACTCGTTTTCTCCTTTCATACTGATCCAAAACCTGACAGCCCATTAGCTCCTGGTCAGTAAACGTCAGTAACTAACGTGGTGGTCAGAATTGCTGTAATTCTGGCCAAAGGCTAAAGCTTGGAGTTGATTAGTCTGTGCTACCTAGTCAAAGATAAAATGGACCAGATTTTCCTTACTTCGTTAGGTCTTTCGAAAAATTGACAGTAGCCCTGGAGGGTAAATTGGCAGTACCATTTTGCCAGGATGTATAAGAAGTCTTAAAGTGTGCTTACTCTTATGACCTAGCAATTCCATTTTTAGAAATGCACCCTAAAGAACCAGATATGTGGGCGCCTGGGTGGCTCAGTTGGTTAAGCGACTGCCTTCGGCTCAGGTCATGATCCTGGAGTCCCGGGATCGAGTCCCGCATCAGGCTCCCTGCTTGGCGGGGAGTCTGCTTCTCCCTCTGACCCTCCTCCCTCTCATGCTCTCTGTCTCTCATTCTCT